AGAGAGAGAGAGAGAGAGAGAGAGAGAGGCAGGGAAATAGAGAGGGTGACTGCTCGATTGAAATCATGACATTGTTCTTTTCTTCAGATTGCGATTCCTCCAACTCCAAAACGGAGGAAAAACGATCGTTCATCGAAAAGACATCCGCAATCTTCATTTAGACCAAGATCTAGGCTAGCCTCGAAACTAGATCAATGATTTATGTCTGTCTGTCTAGATTTAGATCTACACCTAGGCCATAGATCTAGAAGAAACTAGGTCTACCCTGAGCCAAGATGGCGCTGAAACTCTCCGAAATCACAAAAGAGTTCCCCTACCTGGTCTGTATACTTTGTGACTTTGTTCCCGGTTACCGGGTCTGTATACACTCCCTTAAAAATATTCTGTTCTTTTCCTCAGATGGACCGTCGGATTCAGCTGGTCTCTGTGTTGCTTGGGGTGGCTGGATGTGTTCTGTTCGCTTATGGTAGGGTCTACGGGTCGCTGTTTGTGTGTGTGTGTGTGTGTGTGTGTGTGTGTGTGTGTGTGTGTGTGTGCGTGTATATATTTCAGTCTTTGGTGTATGCGTCGATATATGTGTGCTTGAGTGTGGTGTGTGAGTTATATGTGTGTATGTGTGTGATTATGAGTATGTATATGTGTGAGAGTGTGTGTGTACTCGATCCATCCATCCACCCATCCACCCATCCATCCATCCACCCATCCATCCACCCATCCATCCATCCACCCATCCATCCACCCATCCATCCATCCATCCATCCATCCATCCATCCATCTATCCATCCATCCATCCACCCACAGCACAGACCACCCCCTCTGTACAGCTACGTATCGCCTTCTCGGCTGGCCTCACCACCATGCTGAACGTGTCCACTCACGTAAACGTCACCTACGATCGTGTCTTCCTCAACACGGGAAACGGTTATGACAGCAGCTCCGGGATCTTCACGGCTCCCTACGACGGCGTCTACATGTTCATCTACCACGGTTTAGCGGAGACCAAGTACGTACATCGATCTTCCATACTCCCGCCATCTCCACCCCCCTCCCCAATCCATTCCCTTCGCTTTCATCCTCTCATCCCTCTTCCCTATTACCCCAACCACATCCTCCACTCCCTCCCTCAACTCTCCCTCAACCCCCCCCCGTCACTCTACACATTATGCACACTCCCAAACTGAAATGCCTTATGACTGGGTATAAAACTTCACCTATTACGCTTTGGAGAGACTTAGGCTGAAAATCTACTGCCACACACAACTGAAGTACGCCTCAAACGGACGAGCAGCTAGGTCGGAAGTGGTGATCCCATAGATCAACGCGATTCTGTCCCACTGTGTAAAAAAATGGCGCTGAGCAGGCGTATACAACTCAGTAGTCGATCCCCCCCCCCCTTTTTGTTTTATCTCCACGGCGTCCCGGTTATAGAGAAAACATTTCTTGTCTTTTAAAGAAACTGAACAAGGGGCAAAAACTTTACCTTCGATTTTCTTTAAACAGCCTTTTTCGGGATAGTCCCCTTGGGCTTAAAAGCAACCAAATAATAAAGTCATTTCTACTTCGCGGTAGCCCCGTCACATTCACCTGAAGTGTTTCATTCTCCCAAATGTCCCCAGCGGCACGTTGTGGCTTGACCTGTACAAGAACGGAGACTACAAGTCCTCGGCCTACGCCCACATCACGGCACAGTACGCCGCGGCAAGCAATGCCATGGTTCTCGAGCTGAAGAAAGGTACGTAATGATATAGTGTAAAGCGCATAGAGCCAGCTGTTGAGCGGGGATATGCGCTATACAAATGCTATTTATCATTATTATTATTATTAATGAAGGCCGTGGTTAGTGCGTGTCTGCCTTCCATACAAACACACCCCAGAGATAGGACTCATGATGGTCGTCCTTCGCTGGCGAAGATGACCTTGACTTCACATCACTGGAGGGGTGGGGTGTGTGCGGAGATGGCTGATCAGGCCGATCTTCGCTAGGAAATGTCTGTTGCAGTGGGGGGCAGGGGATGTTTGGGGCTGAACTAGACCGGAAGGTAGGGCTCTCTCGATCTATTTGCAGGTGCCGTCTCCATTTTTAAAAATATTTCGGTAGCGTCTTTCTTCGAACTTGGCGACTCCCGATCTTACTAGGAGATATGGCTAATGGTGTTCCCGTAGGCTTATAATCATAATTTCACTAATAATTGTTTTTGCATAGCCCATATCCACGTTTTACAGCATGTTCTATGCGCGTTACAGCGATTGTTACGGAACACAGCACTACAACATTTTAAACAACAATTCGAAAAAACAAATGCGTAACTCCCACCGTAAGTTCTTGATACTTTATTTCAACAAGTGTAGTGCATAGTAGATTTCCCGCAAAGGGGGTAGACCTTGGCTCTGTCCCTTCCTCTTCTCTCTCTGTCGTCCGACTGTCCCCTCACAGACCGTGTGTGACCCATTATATATATATATATATATATATATATATATATATATATATATATATATATAAGCTTCACGTCAGCTACTACAGCGCGAGATCCCCGTGCTCCTCCGCACGAGAATCCCGCGCCCCGAGTAAATCTCGATACTTGTGGTGAAAAGTGGGCAAATATCCACAACAACCATTATTACCGCAGCAGAGCCTAGCACACTCAGGAACATTCTCGGCTTCTCGGGAACAATACAGTGCTGCAGATTGCACGCTCTCAGACATAAGCAAACTGACAAGATCTTTTTCTGTCTATTGTCGGGTACCAATTCCCATCTGGTTGAAGTAGGAAAAATCGTGCAAAGTGTCCTTTCCAAGTGCACAACATCTGGCCACTGGTGGGAATCGAACCCACGACCTTATAGTTGAAAGTCAAAGGAGCCTAACCACTAGATCACCGACGCCACGTTTGTTTTATAATATCCTACCCCTTGCACTTTAACATATACATGCACGATTATTTCCGATTCCCAATGAACTGCCTCGAAAGACCTGGATAGATGGAGTCAGGGAAACACTAACAACTCATGGCATCCCCCTGACCCAAGCTCTACGGCTGGCGACAGAGAGACGTCTCTTTCTTCCCGCGACACCCAAAAGGGTATAAGCGGCGGATAAAAGTAAAGTAAAACAATGAGCTGCAACATTCCGGGTTGCCATTTTGACGTCGTATTAGATACAGACATGGTCACGCACAATTTGGAACCCATTGAACCTTGCTAGGG